AAAACAATTACTTTATGTAAATACAGTTACAAATGAAATTTTTAAATGCATCCCGTTCAATTCCTACGTATTTAGATGTTATACGCGTATAAAATTATATTTTACATTTTGAAAGTTAAAATTATGATATTTTTTATGTGATATAAAAATTGTCGATGATATTTTTGTAAAAAGTAAGTTTTATATGTCAGCTATATAAATACATAGATACTGTCCCAGCCCAATCGACCCATTTTTCTGCTCGATCGACTACCCTTACCCTATCCCGGATCTATAGGGTTTGATAACTTTGGTTTGATCGACCACATTAGTTTGATCAGGTGATCGACCACACTAGTTCTTGATGATGACATTGATGGATGCCCTGTGGCCCCCACCATGGGTTGGAGAATTTTCTCTAAAATAATAATAATAATAATAATAAATAAATGAATTGGTCCATGCTTGAAAAATACAAATATATCTTTTTCACCATTTTGAAAATAAATAATTGTCCATGTTTGAAATTTCTGATGAAAATTTTGTCCCATTTGCTTCATAATTTAATAATTCTTATAAAAAAGCGATTATAAAATGTACCTGATGCGATATTTGATGATGACCTCTTCAACTTAATATAATCAACAACATGTATAAATGATGTGAAATTAAGGATGTATTAAAAAAACAACTGCAAAAAGCTGTATTTTATCACCATACCCAACTAGGCGTGTAACTCGCTCATGTTCGGGCTCGCTGGTGTTCGACTCGTTTGAATTTGGAGCTCAAAAAGTGTGTTCGTATTCGGCTCGTTTGCTCAGAGATCCGAAAACAAGCCGTTCGCGAACTAAGAGTCGTTTTGACAACCCTAATCACATAGTCATAAGATGTTAAGGATTATGACAAGATTTAAAACATCATTTGAATCTAATTTAATAATTTTTATTCTATTTTCTTAATTAATGTTTTTAATTGATTATAAATCTTTGTAGCCTTGTAGTCAATTAAATTTTTTAAAAATACTACTCATCATATATATATATATATATATATATAAAATTGATTAGTAGTATTTAGAGCTAAAACGAGCAAAACACGAACGAACAAATATTTGTCTGTGTTGTTCATGTTCGGCTCGTTCACTTAGCGAACGAGCCAAACATGAGTTTCTTAACGAGCGAAACACGAGATGTTCGCTAACAACGAGCCGCTTCGACAGCACTATACCCAATTACCTCACAAAATTATGGTCTAACTTCTTCAAAAAAAAAAAAATAATAATAATAATAATAGCGAGTGCAGTTTCTTAAACAACTGTTTTTTTTTCAGCCGTTTCACAGTTGCTACTTCAAACAGCTTTAGCTGCCTCAAACAGAACCTAAGTTTTGCTTCTTAGTTGGTAAATAGTGAGAGGTGACTCTAACGCGGACATTATTTTTTCAAATTTTTTTAAAATGTATTTTCATATGTAACTCCTAAACTTTATTTGTTATATTTATAAAATCCAAAATTTTTGTTTAAAAATACCAAACTTTTAATTTCTTAAAAATTAAATTCATATTTTCTTGCATAGGTAATATGACAATTGTATAAACCCTTCAACCAAATACATTGTATTTTCAAAGTATCTGTATTTTTTTATATTTTTAAAAAGCATTGTTTTAAAATGAGTCTGATATATAGCTAATTAATAAAATTTTATATTACATTTATTTTAAACTGAACATAATAATTTAATATAGTTTTTATTAAATTTTAATTGGAATATTATGATAATTTTTAAAGATTACTTTTTATGTAGCAACTTTGTAATTATTTTTGAAAATAGATGCTACTTTAATTCATCTTCAAATCTACTTTTGCAAGCTAATTTCAATTTAAATTCAATTAGAATATTAAATGGAATTGGATATGTATTTACATATTAATATCTAAACATTGATATTTTAAAATTTCAACATCACGTAAAAAATATTATTATGATTATTCTTTTGAAGGGAAATTAAAATTTTCATGTATAGATTTATGACAACAAAGTGTGATAAGTGCAAATATAAAAAAATAGTTGTTGATGTATAAATACATAAGAATTGTGTGGTATGTTTATAGAATTTCTTATATTAATTCGATTAATTACAAGTAATTTTGATGCAGTCATATTTTAAGAGCTCTAATTCTGATTTGAGATTTGTTTGAGACAGCTTTCTGAGTGCTTTGTTTTTCAGACCGACACTGTAGTTTAGTTTAGGGAACTATTTTTTTGTTACTTTCTAGAAATATCTGTTGTTAGAAGCTTATGTTTTCAATATAACATGTTAAAATGTGATAAATGTCAAAAAATTGTGGTCAGACTTTTGAAATTAAAATAAAATTGTAATAGTTAATGCAGTTTTTTGAACAACAATTTATTTCGTAGCTGCTTTACAACAACTTCTTCCAACCACAGGATCTACCCCAAACATACCCTTTTATATAACATGTAAAACAATGTTATTTACATATCTCACATCTCAAACTTGAATATTATGAATCACCCTTTTGTACTTTCATTATCTCTTCTGACTCCAACCTCCTCTCCCCTGCTGACATGTGAAGCAACAATAGGATCACGGTGTACAAGATTGGGAACTACTGAATTGTGACGTTCGAAGTCTTTACAAATTCATATCGCTGAAGTTGCAACGATTGAAATGACAACAAAATCATGACATTTAAATACTTCTGAAACTCTCATCGTTAGAGCTACAACCGGATTTGCACGTGCAAAGACTTCTGAAACTCTCATTGCCATAATTGCGACTTGGATCACACGTAAAAATCCTTTCAAAACTCTTACTTTTCCCCCCTTTGTGAGTAATAAGATCATATGTACAAATACCTGCTATATAGACCAATAAAATTAGATTACAAAATTATATATATAGTTTTATCAACTCCTAAATGTCTCCAAATTCTTAGTAATTTATAGGGTTTTTTCTATAGGCACACATCCCCTTACCATCTGATCATTACATCTTCTATAAAGATATGGGTCATCCCAAAAATAAATTCTGACATCATGTATGAATTTATTACGTTGATAGTATTTCATGCCATATAACATAATATCACTAACTATAAAATTTACTATGTTTGCATACCACAGAATGTGTCACTCAGTAATAACAAATAGTTTTTCATCAGAAAATTCTTATTGATTTCATCTTCATGAGCATATGAAACTCCTTGTTTCAGTCTTGATAAACAATAAGCAATTTGATTGACAAAATCATTCATATCAACTACTTCGATATCAAATTCTTGCATCAAAAGTACACATCTAATCAATCTAGGTTTGACAACTTTTTTAACATCAGATATTTAATAGCAGAATTGTCATTGTGAACAATATATTTTATTCCAATCAAATATGGTCTAAATTTATTAACAACATACACTACAACCAATAACTCTTTTTCAGTAGCTGTGTAGTTAATTTGAGCTTCATTAAAAGGTTTACAACCATAATATATAGGCTTGAACATTTTATCGTCTCTTTGTCTTAAAATTGCCCTAATAACATAGTCACTAACATTACACAATAACTCAAATGATTTTCCCTAATCAGATAAAACAATAATAGGAGCAACAACTAATTTCTCTTTAACAATGTTGACGGCATTTTAACATTCTTGGTCGAAATTAAATAGAAAATCCCTTTTAAAGAGATGACATAGAGGCTTGGTAATTTTAGAAAAATCCTTTATATATTGTCTATAATTTCTAGCATGTCCCAAAAAATTCCTAACGCCCCTCACGGTAGTAAGAGGAGGTAGTTTTTTAATTACTTTAATCTTTGTTGGGTCTAATTTCATGTCTTTAACAAATATTTTATGTCCTAATACAATTCATGCTGAAACCATAAACTGACACTTAAGGGTCCATTTGGGGCAGCTTATAAGTGCGGCAGCGTTTTCAAAACGCCGCTATACTGTTTGGTTCATGCGTTTCACCAGCTTATCCGAAAATGCGTTTGAGTTTTTACACTAAACGCAGGCCGCGGGTCGACCCCTGCGGTCGGCTCGTGGGCGACCCGTGGGTCCCATTTCAGGATAAGCAGTTTATCCTGAAACGCACAAGTTGCCCCAAACAAACCCTAAGAGATTAATAGCTTTCTGATTGCTTTATTTTTCAAACCTTGGCGGTAGTTAAGTTTTAGGAACTATTTTTTTGCTGCTTTAAAAAAAATATGTGGTTGAAAGCTTATCTAATCGGTTAAAATGTGATAAATGTCATAAAACTACGATCAAATTTTTTGAAATTAAAATAAAATTGTAATAGTCATTACAATTTTTTGAATAACAGCTTGTTCCACAACTACTTCGTAGTAGCTTCTTCAAACCACTGTAGCTACGCCAAACATTCCCTTACATAGCACATAAAATATTGCTATTTAGATATGTCACATCTCGAACTTGAATATTATGAATAGCACTTTCATACTTTCATTCCGCCTCCAACCTCCTTTCCTCCGCCAACACGCCGAAGCAACAATAAGATGCAGTGTACGAGATTGAGAACGACTGAATCGAGTTGTTCGAAGACTGTAAAAACTCATATCATTAGAGTTGCAACGACTGAAATGACAATAATAGAATCATGACGTTCAAATACTTCTGAAACTCCCATCGTCGAAGCTCCAACCAGATTGCAAGTGCAAAGTCTTCTGCAACTCTCATTGCCATAATTGCGACTTGAATAACGCGTACAAAGACTTCCAAAACTCTTACTTTTTCCTCCTTTGTGAGCAACTTGATCATGCGTATAAAGACCTCCAAAACTCCACCTCTTGGTTGATAAGTGAATTTTATGCAAGTTTGACACTGATAAGGAGGTTGGAGACACAAGCTGTTAACAAAAATGTGCATATGGTAATATTCAAAATTTAAATGTGAGATAAGAAAATAATAATGTTTTGAGTGTTATGTTTATATAAAAAAATGCAGAAAAATAATTTAATATAAATAGTGAAAATAGAAAATTCAGGAAAATGGACGGACATCCATCCCCTTCCCTTCCCATCTCCTCTCCGCTCCTCTGGGGGTATCTGTTCCCCGACACCTGTGTCTCTGTCTCCGACTCTTCTCTCTCCTCTCTTCTGCAACCATGAAGGGTCCGGGGTTGTTCTCTGACATCGGGAAGAAGGCGAAGGGTAAGCCTCCCGTTTCTCTTCAACTCTTCTCCATGCCACTTCTGCTAGCTCTACAATTTTCTTAATCCTGAAATTTTAATTATTCGAACCATTTGCTTATGGCTCAGATCTGCTGACGAGGGATTATAGTTACGACCAGAAGTTAACGATTTCAACCCGCAGCGCAACCGGAGTGGTACTTGCCAGATCTCCTTCTTGTGTTTCTGCCGTCTTATTGCTCGAGAATTATATATAGTTTTTATTTTCTGTTTTATGATCCCATTCCACTGCAAATGCTCAATTTCTATACCGGTTTTGTATGCCTGCTCATGTTTTTTATGGTTTGTGATAATTAATCCGCTTGAGTGCGCGCTATTTGATCTGACGAAACAATGAGGGCCTTGGCGGTTTCCATGTTTTTAGGGTACTTATTTTGTATAGCAGAACCTTGTTTTGTTGTTGTATGTTTGCCATTTTAGATCAGATTGATAGAAAATCATTTGAGTAAGCTAGATCTGTTTTCTATTTATCTGCGGTGTCTTTATGCATAACTCTTTATTTTTAATAATTAAAGGTTAAAATATTTAAGTTTCTGTCACCTATTTTCTGTTGATGTTGGGCAAGTCGGAAGATTTCCCAGGAATTGAATTTCCAATTTTTTTTTTATATATGACTCATTAGAGTAGATAGATTGATTGCTGGGAAGCATCAATGTGTCAGTGATCTAGCTGATGCTCCTGTTTCTTGGTTAAATTTGTGAAACTTCTCTACAGTTATCTCCATTGCAAACCTTCTTTTTCTTTTTCTTTTGATAGTTTTAACACTGTTAATCCAAAGAGCTCCTTAATGGAGTTGAAATTACTCAAAATGGCTTTTGTATTCATATTTGATACTTGCCATGTTCTTGGACTCCAGGAAACAGTGAAATGACCCATGGGTTGAAACATCGACGCCAAAAACTCTTTTACCTTATCTAGTTGAGTATTCCCACTAAAATATCAAAAAAGGGTAGTTATATGTTTGAAATTTAGGCAAACATGCTATATCTGATTTCATAGTTTCTTAGGTTTTTTTTGTAAATTTATGTTAAGTTTTGGTTATTATTATTAGTATTATTTTGCCTGCTATGCTAGTATTATTTTTATTATCGAATCCTTGTTCTACATATCTGAAGCATGCATATCTTTGTATATATACATTTCTTCTTATGAATTATATACTAATATTTTCAGAAGCATTGGCAACCTCAAGGTGATATGGCCACACAACGACCAAGGTGCTACGTGGCATCATATAACTTCGTTAAAAAATGAAATGCTACTACACCTCATAAAGTTTTTAATCATGAGCCATTGATTTTTATAAATGTATTATCATTATTACATTAAATTATGCCCGATGATACAATAATTTCAAGTTACTTTGCGTATTTAGTTTGAAAAATCTTACTATATTTATTATCCTAAAGAAATATAAATAAATTTGTAATTTGCCTAACCTAATGATAATCTCATCTTTGTTGCTAGCTATTTCATTTTTATCATCATCCATTCCCTTATAACCCTCCATCTCTTCCTATCTTAAAGAACTCATCCTGTATATCAAGGTTTTCCAGCTCTATAAATTGATGATGTTCTTCCTACGCTTATCTTATTTTTCCTTATAGATACAATTCTTTATTTATCCAACTCTTGATTCTAAGTTCACATCTCTCTATGACAAAATATTATCATAAAAAAATTATTTTGTTTCTACAATTGACGTATTAACTCCCATCTCTTCAATCAAGTAAAGGTAATTGTTAATGCAAGTTGCTTGTCCTCACATGTTTTTGTAATTTATCGATTTTGGAGGTGCACCAAGTGCTATAGCTGAACTCATGGAGTAGCTTGGTGATTGACTTGTATTTAATTACAACAACAAGAACAAAACAACAACAACAACAAGCCTTTATCTCACTAAATAGGGTTGGTTGCATGAACCCTTTTTCTTCATTGTGTCCTATTGAGTGCCATAGTTTCATTTAATTCTTATAAGTTAAGATCATTTTTTATACAACATGCCCAAGTCCTTTTAGGTCTTCTTCTACCTTTCCAACACAAGTCAATTGACATGTATTTAATTGTTTTGATTTAATTATATGCTTAATTTTATATTATGGTGAGAGAGATTAATCAATGTTCAATCATTTGACCAAACATTTGATTTAATAGAGTTTGTTGTCAATTGTACAACATTTAAATAATATATTAGCTATCTGTAATAATTTGATTGGAATTTATGATTAACAAGAGATAGAGAGTGCACATGTATAAGATAGGGATAGAAAAGGAGAGAGTCAGAGCATCTTAATGTTTGATTGGTTACAACTGATAATTTGATCGAACACTATCGAGAAATAAGAGAGAGTCTAAGCTATTTTCACTACAATTAATAATGCAACTGAACTCCATAGTCATCAAGAGCAAGAAAGCGTGAAAGGGGAGTTATTTAGAACATTTAAATGCTAAATTATTTGCAATTTACAAATTGATCTAACTTTATAGTCGAAGAGAATGAGATAGAGAGAGGAGCAAAGAAGTGAGTGATGTAGAGGGACGGGTGGAGATTTTGAGAGTTTATGCAATGTTCAATTGTTTGCAAACACTTGGCTCAATAAAGTTTATGCTCCACTTTAGGACATGCAAATGCTAGAGTAACAACAATTAAGAATTAATCACTCTTTATAGTTTAGTGAGAGAGAATTAGGAGCTAATTCATCAGTTAATTGTTAATTTATATGTAAAGATTCATATATATGCTCATATTTGTTAGTTCATCCACCTTAATTAACAAGCACTAAGTTGCTCATCATGCATAATTGCTTGTTGTTATGTGGGTGCCTACTATAAGAGTAATTTATTATTTTGTTATTCATCATTGTTTAGTATAAATAGACCCTCATAGGCTTAGGGTCAGGGTTATGCATGAGATTGGGGTTTGGGAGAGATTTTCTACCTTTCGAATTGTAGGATTTGGGAGAGATTGCCTACCTCTCGAATTATAGGTGCTTGTCTTTTATTTTTATTTATTCGTAGTTGTATTGTTTGCTTTGGATAATTAAAACATTTGTTTTGCCTAATTCATGAAGATTCTTATCAAAGTGGTATCAGAGCATCAATTTTGAAAAAAGAAGGAAAATTAGCTCACAAAAGAGTTCTGGCACTTTTGGAAAGAAAAATGATCGATCGTGTTAGCAGGGAAGAGACGACAAAATCATTTTGCGAGCATGGAAATGTCAACAACATTGTGGCGTGCAATACAATTGCGATTAGAGTTTCCATGAACGCCGACAAACTTAATACAGTTGCAATTAGAGTTTGTTGGGAAGTCACTTACCGGATCGCGACATACAGAGCGACACAATCACACGACTCAACTAGTTGGGAAGGAATACAATCACGATTCATCCTAGTCGTGCTGTATATAGGAGGAGTAAGACCACAACTTGCGAGATAGTAGCGATTCAAGCTAGCTGAGGAAGTCGACAAACGAGATCATGACAAACATAACTGTGTTTGTGACCTACGCTCGTGATATAGTTGCGACTTAAGTTACTTAGGAAGATTGTGGCTTGTCCTAATTGTAGAAGAGTCATGATTCGAGCCAACTGACTATGATCTAACTAAGAAAAGCAATCTTGATTCAAATCAACTACGGGATCACGACATGCATACTTCAAAAATGATTGGAAGTAATGGGGAGAAAAAATAGATGATTTGGAGGAAAATTAGAGAAAGAGATGAGCCACATCAAATATGAAATAAATGAACATTTCTCTGTAATGGAGGAGCATTTCTTGTACATGGAAGAGCGAGATTCACGACTCTGGAAGAAATGATGAAGAAGATAATAGAGTTTCACACAAAATTGGCTTTTCCCTCCACGAGGCCGACCTATAGTGTCAGGAAAGGATGCAGACAACAACAATATGAAGGATTTGTGTGACATTAAGACATTGACTCTTCTTTAAGCGGACTTGGAATCGTGGGATCAAGCGAAGGGCCTCAGAGGGAACACGAGCCTGCAATAACCCTGAGATTTGAGGTTTCTCCGATCAACATGTGCCCAAACGTCAACCCTTAGGTACAGAAGGGCGAGATTGAGAGTTTGATCTGAGAGTTTGATCTGAGAGTTGATGGAGGTTGGGATCATTCAACTTAGTGTGAGCTCCATTTTTAGCCCAATGTTGCTAGTGAAGAAGAAGTATGTGAGTTTGCAATATCCCCAAGATTTGAGATTCCTCCTATCAACGTGCGCCAGATCGTCACCCTCAGGTACAAAAGGGTGAGATTGACGGATTGATCCGAGAGATGATGGAGGATGGGATCATAAAGCTTAGTGTGAGCTCTATTTCTAGCCCAATGTTGTTAGCGAAGAAGAAAGATGTGAGTTGGTGCTTTAATGTGGTTCACTAGGCAGTGAATAAAGAATTGGCACACGACAAATTTCATATCTCGGTGATCGATGAACTACTGAACAAGTTAGTTGGGACGGCAATATCCTCCAAAATTAACTTGAAGTCGGGATACCAACAAATTTAGATGCGACTAAAAGATGTGTACATGACTACATTTCGAACTCATGTTGGTCATTATGAATTCTTGATTGAATGAAAAAGATGGTCAGATGATGACGCCATGTGAAAATCGCCGACTTGATCCAACAACAGTTTCATTTTTTTCCCACCTTGAGGATGTGTTTTTTTGGAGGAGAGTATTGTTCCACATGTGTCTGGCTTAAGAAAAAATTAGTTTTTTATGTGCCTAAGGTAGTTTAGTCTTTTATTATTTATTATTTATTATTATAAATAACCCCTCATAGGCTTTATGCATGTTATTCAGTTGTCGGTCAACTTTTTAATAGATTTGTTTGAAAAATATGGTATATAAAAATAATTTTTTGAAATTTAATTTAAGTATAAAAAATATATATAGTTTGAGTTTTAAAAGTAGTATGTTTTAATTTTTGAAAAATGAGACCAAATGGATCTCATTAGTTCAATAGTTTGCATAATCGTGCCCGATACCGCGAATACTACACCCTCCCGAAAGATAAGTGTAAACCTCGACGATAGACCCAATCCTGCAAACTAAGAGATTTGTGACATCCGTTTGGTCTGCGAACCTTTTTATGTATGATCGACAAGTTCCCCTA